AAATAAATATAAATTATGCCTCTTTCATTCTAGAGTGAACACAAATTATAACACCAAAAATATAAATGTTTAGAATAAATAGATTAAATCTCATAACATTATACATTTATATATATTTTAGGGATGCACGGGTACCCGGCCAGATATTTGGCCCCGGTTGGGTATTGGGCTACCTGGTAATACTCAGCTCTGGCTGAGTGTTGAAGTTAGGCATCTAAGCCCTAATCTTTGTGGCAACTAATGAGGTACTGAAAGTTACAGTCCATAATTTAGTTTAAAAAAAAGTTCCGAGTAACAAAGACTGAATGCCCGCTGAAAGTTGGGTATTTGGAGAACAATAGAAGTTAATTACAGGCATGGCTTGAGAAGTGGATTCCTGGGGAAGGTGGGGTTTTGAGAACAATAGGGGTTAGGGTTTGAGATGTTGGGGTTAGGCATTGTAAGTTGAAAGTAAAACTTGAATGTTTTGTTGGTGATAATTCGGTTAAATGTAATAAATGGCAGTTTTGTTTTTGTTTCTAATTTTTTGTATGTTGTTTTTTGTTTTTTTTTGAGGGGGTGGGTGAAGGGAGAACTCAGTTCCTGTTGACACCCAGCCCTGGCCAAAGCTTAGTGACCGGGTACCTGGACCAGGTATTCAGCTAAATTTTACTACCCGTGCATTCCTAATTTATTTATCATTTTTATTATATTGACCTTTCAGCCATGCCTGGCTAACAATACAGAAGTTAGAATGACACGACACACATGCACTCATGTTACCATATCCAATAACATAAAACTGACCTTTGGTCTGTACAAAGTAACTTGTCTTGGCTGTGTTTTAGAAGACTAGTATTTTGTCAGATGCAGCCACATTGCTATTATTATATATTATATATGAATATACATTATTGCTATTTTGAAATAAGTTCTTAAACTCATTTTTTTAGAAATATAGTACAGTAAAAGAGAAGTAAAGCAAACAATTATCTCTTCTAGTTACGACCTTTGTACTCAGTTGCTGCTTGATGTAGGTTGCTAAGCCTTTAAAACGTTTGCACATGGA